TCTCTGTTGGACCCTTTCCAATCGATCTACATTTTTCTTGAAGTGTGGGGGTCCAAAACTGGATGCAGTACTCCATGTGAGGCCTCACCAGTGCTGAACAGAATGGAAGAATCACTTCCTTCTATTTCCAATTTACACTTTTGTTAATATAACCCAATTTGCTAGGGTTTTGTTTTTCTTTTTGCAATAAGATCACACTGTTGGCTCATATTTAGCTTCAGCTTGAGGCTCATGGAACCTGGTAACTCCCAGGTCCTTCTCTGCAATAATTACAGACTAGCCAGTCATTCCCCAGGATGTGTTTGTGCCTCTCACAGGATGGAATGAGGTTCCCTTTCGTATGTGGGTCCTATGGAATGCCTCCCTTTGACTTCAGTGGGGAAGCATGTCAAGCCTGATTTCTACTATCTCTTGCAGGGCTTCTCGACTCAGGCACTGTAGGCATCAGCAGAGCAGGATTAATATGCACATAGCATCCCCAGTGCACTTGAATGAATCTCCAACAACAGATATACAATTTGTACATAGGTGTGTTCCTCTTTAGCATAATCCAGTGGGTGTAGCTTTTCAATCACTAGTGACTCTACAGTAACAAAGTGGTGTCAACTGAGGTTTACACTTTCAGGTCCTTACAGTGAAGAGGGAAGATGTTGCTGCCCTCTACTGGAAAGTCATTTTAATAGCTCAATGTAGGGAAGGTTAATACAGTAATTGATCTGTACTTTTTCAAAGTTCCTGACAAATAGTGACAAAGCATTATTACCCACATTTTGAAGCCAAAGAAACTGAAGTGTAGTGAAGTTCAACTTTCTTAAAAGTGTCCACGTTTGATGAATGCTGCAGTTTTGGGGAACTCGAATCATAAAAGGGTATGATTTTCAGAGGTATTCAGAACCTGCAACTTCTGCTCATTCCAATTTAAGTTAGGGGAATTCAGTACTTCTTTCAATCAAGCTAAGTGCCTCAGAATGTAAGCACTCAAATTAGTAGCCTGGTTTTTTTAAATATTTGTACTGAAGTTTCCTGACTGCAGTTACAGTCTTGGCAGAAATTAAAACAGACGCCAGGCTGCTTGATTGCCTGGCAAGTAGAATGGGATGACTGCACTACCAAAAGGCCAGCCAGTTAAGCTGACTTGGACAAGGTGGTCTAACATTATTTCTGAAGGGCACAGCTAGAAACATTCAAACATGAAATAACATTTGGTGTTTTAAGAACGATGGTAATGAGCTACTAAAGCAGCTCATTGAGGGCTGTGGTAGATTCTCTCTTACTTGAAGTCTTTAAATCAAGGTATGCTATAGCTTAACCAGAGCTCATTGAGTTAGATGCACTAATTACTGCAAGAAGTTCTGTAGCCTATAACTTGCAGGAAGTCAAAGGGGAAGATCATGATGGCTTTACTTGGCAGTCCTTTAGCCTCATAGAACAACATTATATTCCATCTATTAGGCACTAAGTGTCATCCTATTCCACCCTGCTCAAGGGGAAGGGGTGGGGGGGAAATAGATCCCCCTGCTTGCTGCTTTTTGTGATTTAGTCTTAAGGGTAAGGTGATTGATGATGTGCACAAAAGTACATATACCACAGATTTATAGGATCAGAAGGAAAGCAGTGCTAGAAGGGACACAAAAGGAAAGCAGTGCTAGTTCAGCCCCCTGTTCATGGCAGGATCATTCCTAACTAAAATATTCCAGTCAAGCGTCTGCCCAACATTTTAACATTTTTTCAGTAGCCTCCATGCCAAATAGAGACACATGCTACCACCCAAACCAAAAAATATACGTGCAACCCTTGCCCTGTCTGATCGACCAGTTTGGTGCGTCAGGCAGGCTACCTGCATGCTACCTCATAGGCTGAAATACGCAACTGAACCATGTGAAAAATGGCCTGCAGACTCCTTAGCACAACTGTAGTCTTCATGAGTGTTGCTTTGTCTGTGGCTTCTGCTGGCTTTTGACCTTAATGCCAGTCATTGACCCATGATTCATTGCCCTGGGGTCTGGCTCTTTGCTGTCACGTTAGATTGCCCATATGTAAGCTGTGTAACATGACTAAGTCAAACTATATTGGAGAGGAATACATATTGTTTTAGTGGCAGGGTGTGCATGAGGCAGAAAGCCATAAAGCACTGACTACGGCCATGAGGAAAACCCCAGAATAAGAACTTGTTGGCTGAGCGCAGGTTGAAAGTCTTGGGAGTTGAGAGCAAATTAATTTTCTATTAGTTAATTCCTTCTTGTTCAAGGAAACAGGACTTTGTACATCATCTTTAAATGAAAAGGATTGCGTCGAAGCTGCCTCAGTCATTAATTTATCTATTAAACAATCTGCAGAGCCTTGAACGGTTTGGTTTAAAAGAGGTAACATGACTAAGAAATTAATATTGACAGTGGCTAAGTGGCGCTGTTGGCTCTTAGAGCTAACTGTGTAATCAGAGCAATAGAAGGCTACGGTAACATTGATTTCAAGCTTTTTGAAGATGTGGACAGACATCATTTCATGGGTTATATAACTTGTTCACACTTGTAGTTTTAGCTCTACAGCCATAAAGACTAGATACCTTGTCTTTTATATTAAGAAAGGGAATATATCCCAGTGAGCCACATAACGCTCTAATTTAAGCTATCTCCTACTTCTAGGGTGTTTCCTGGATAGCCGTAGCTCTAGGGCAGGAATTCAATTGCTACTTCTGCTGCTGAGTCACTCTAGTTTCCCTATAATAATACTTGTGTCATAGCAGCATTGTGAAATGTAATTAGTTAATGACTGGAAGCACTTTGAATATATAACGCTCTATAAATATAAATTATTTCTAAAAAATCCAGCCCTATGAATTTAGATTAAGAAAAATCAACTCACATTGGAAACTAATATTTCCCTGCAATATAGTGGGTAACCATTCAGCACCACTCCATTGGGCAGCTGACTTGGTCATCTTATGAAAAGGACCAGGGCTAGAGGAAAAGGTGGCATTATTTGAACAATGGATTTTTAGAGCCTGAGGGCAGAAGAAATGAATGTGTTTCTACAAAACTAGGTGGTCTAAATGACCTTTGATAGCCCTTCTAACCTCATGATTCCATGAAAACCATAGTCCCTTTGGTCATAAGCATCTCAGGTAACATATATTGTGACTATCACACCTTGTCATTTCCAGCTGAGTGGAAAGCCTCTCCCAGAGTCCTCCCAGAATCCTTCATATTGAAATCCATCTGAGGGAGGAGTTTTAAATGTAGAGTGTAAATTAAAGACTTGTATGAAGTCAGAGAAAATAAGTCTTCCGAGTGGGTGGAAGAGTAGAACTATACAGGACCTGAATTATTTGTTTGCAGTGGGTTGCCTAATTAAAGTGAACCCATTCAGCTTTTTGCTGCAGCTTTTACCTCAAATGGCTCTGTTTCTTTTATCAGCTGAAGCTCATCAGTGGTCTCATACATTTGATTGGAGAAGTGGTCTGACTGGAGTTGACTGGAGAAGTTCCACTCAGAAATTCACTGGTTCTGTTCAATTGCAGCAGCTATACGTACTCTCAGTTAATTCACAAACCCTCATTTTCCCAGAGGAGTTAGAAACCTATCCTTGTGAAGTATTCAACTATATATTGAACCAATATGGGTTGGAAGGCCCTGGCAGATGTTTCATTTATTGCCCAAGAAACCTGTTAATCATGTGATTAATTAGATGCGACATATTAGCCAATTTATGACTTCATAAATAGCAAACCAGCCATGGAGATGTTCCACATTAAATGTGGATTGCATCACTTTAAATTGAACACATGGCAGGTTTTGGGACTGCTCTATGCCTGATCCCAATTAGCTGATTGTTGGGATCAGGTATAAGGCAGCCCCCAAGGTCAGGACATGGCTACCCCTACCTGATCCTTGGATCTCAAACTGGGACTGGGTACTGCTCTACATCTGATCCTGATGATCAACTGAGGGTTGGGATCAGGCAGGAGGCAGCCCTGAGATCTAAGATTTAGCTGCCCCCAGCCTGATCCAGTTTGGCTGCGGCAGTTACACAACTGGAATCTGAGGAATTTTATGTCCCATCCCAAAAAGCACACGTCCTTTCATGCATGTCTGGCATGGAAGAACATGTGATTTCAGGGATCGGGCACAAAATTCCTCAGATCCCAATCACAGCACTATATTCACATCTGCCAGGAGTCTGAGAATGCTTGAAGGAGTGGGTCCCTCACACCCGCAAGAACAAGCAAATCTCTCTTGGCAGGGAACTGAATCGGCTTAGCTAGACTTATCAGACCCTCCACAGTGATGCTTTCCTTGTGAGATCAAGTCCCTTGCCTATACCAGGTAAAGACCACCCCACCCTGGGGTTGATATCATAGACCACATACCACCTGCCAGCCACTCTAGGGACCAGCCTCAAGGGCATTGCGGGGGGGAAGGGAGGACACACTGGCAATCTACTAAATTCAAAGTGCTTGAAATGCTGCTACCATTTCTGGAAGGACATGCGTGAGCCATCCGCATGGGCTTCATACTCTTGCAATACCGTCTTTCTAAACTGGTTCTGACGCCTTTCGAGTAGGCCACGGCAGGGACCTCGCAGCAACGTACTGTACAGAGACCAAAGCACTGAGTGGGCATCAAACCCAGAAAACACCTGACTCCCGGGATTTCCAAGCCAGGGGCTTTCTGTGCCTTCTTCACAGCATTCGTCCAGTACCGCCTTCCCGCCTGCTTCCCGTCCTGCGATGCCGCAGCTAGGCCAGGGAGCAGGAGCCTGAGGAGCTGCATGCTCCTGCTCTCCCCACCCTCGCCTCCTGCTGGGCCGGGCTGCACGCGACCACTCCGCCACAAGAACAGCTGCGCACGCGCACACGGGACTCCATTGTTCCGTGGCGGAAACCGCTATGGCGGCGAAGTGGAGATTTCGCGCGCAGGCGCTCACGTGACCACGAGCTGCGGAGCTGGTTGGGCGCGGCCGCGCATGCGCGCTGATTCGACACGGGCTTCGGCAAGCGGGGCGGAAGCGCTGGGCAGGCTGGGCGCGAGGCCGTCGGGCTGGCTCACGGAGCGCTCGGAGCAGCCCCCGGCCCCGGCGCGGCGCGGCGCGGCGCAGCGCAGCCCGGGCTGATGTCGGGCGCGTGCGGGATGCAGCCGTGCCACCAGGAGGCGCTGCGCAGGCACCGCGTGCCCCTGGCCAAGCAGCTGGTGCTGCAGGAGCTGCTGGAGCACTTGCTGGCGCGCGCCGTGCTCACGCCGGAGATGAAGGAGGCCATCCAGGTAGGGCGGGGCCTTGGCCTCCGCTTCCCCTCCCGGGCTGCGGGACCTGCTCTGCCCCGCGGGAGCCGGCCGCGGCACGGGCTGGGGCGCGGGGATGCGGCATTTCACGTGCGGGCCCTTTTGAGCTTGAACTGAGAACAGAGGAGCCGCTGTTTCGCGGGTCGGGCCCCAGCTCCATCTTGCTCCGTCTCATACGCCCACGCCCCCCCCCCCCCATGCTGCAGCTGGGCCAGGGAGCAGGGGCCTGAGGAGCTGCTTGCTGCAGGCTCCTGCTCTCCCCACCCTGGCCTCCTGCTGGACCTACAGCCCCCTCTCCTTTGGTCCCGCCTCACGGCCACCGCATGACCGGGGCCACCTGCAGCCAAAGGGGACCTCACAATGCCACCACCAGCAATGTCTGCCTGTTAGCTGGTCTAGGAGCAACCCCTGTGTCTACCCTCCTGTGGTGGGTCCTGTGCTCCACTTCCTTTCTCCTGGTGTTTGTGATCCGCTAAGTCAGCAGCATGCTTCCCTTTCTTTTCTTCATATGTCCCTGTTGTCTTTTTGTGTTCCCTCCACAGCTCCCCTCCTCCCCCCTGCAGTACAGCCAGCGGAGGCACCTTGCACCCCACAGCAAGCCACTTTCTTCCTCCCAGGCAGAGGAGGAGCATGCAGCTCCTTCCCTCACACCCCACCTGACTCCTTCCCACCATAGGCAGCAGAAGGCTGCTGCTAACGGGGCTTAGCCCCCCCAAACGCAGCTCCACTGCTCCAGCACCACTGGCATGCCCGGTGCACTTGCCATGCATCAGCCCCGCAACAGCCCTGAGTGAGGGGGAGGGGCGTCTCTGCACTACTTCTCCACATCCTGGCATGCACTCGCAACCCCAGCACCCACATAATATTTTCTCCCGCCACCGCTGCTTCCAAGCTAGCCTCCCATGACATGGCAAGAGTCCCTTGAGGGAGCTGCCAATATGCTGGGGAAGACCCTGCAGGGGCAGGGGTTTCCCCACTGACCAGTCTCTCTTCGAGGGGGGCCATGGAGCCCCCAAGCCCAACAAGGCAGGGGAAAGGGCAAAGGCTCCTCCTCTTCCTCCTCCACAGGGGGTGGGAAGAGTAAAGGGCCTACAAAGAAAGTCCAGTTAGCAACACTTGCAGGTGCAGGTGCCCCTCCCACTCAGCCTTCCTTCATCTCTGCAAGCAGGGCTGCTCAGCTCAGAAGTTGGAGCTATTCCTAGGTGGCTGCAGGGAAGCTTGCAGCCTCGGAGCCTGGGCCCTCTTCCACTTCTGCCCACACATCCTCAGGCAGTTGGGGTCCCCTCCTCAGCATCAGCAGGCACAGTGGGGTGCACTGCAACATGCCTGAGATTAAGCCACCACCGTTTGAGAACTATGTGCACTCACTCAGGCAGTGGGGGCCCCTGGAGATTGGCAGTCTCCAGATACTACCGCAAGGTTATCATTTACCTTGCCATGGAGGCTGCCATACAGGAAGCGGCAGAGAAGAGGTTTGCAGTGTGGGGGGGAAAGCGTGTCCAACTCAAGCCCCTGGAGGAGCTGGGAACTCGGGTGGTCTTCAGCCCCACCCCCTTATGTCCCTAATTGGGCCCTCATGCCCTTCCTGCAAAGCCTGGGGAGAGTTCTATCCCTGGTCACCACTCTCCTGCTGGGGTGCCAGGACCCCAACCTCCCCCCACATCCAGTCCTACCACCACCTTCAGGTGCTGTATGCCTCTGCAGAGTGTATGGTCAAGTCACCATCCAGCTGGAGGTGAAGGGGGGACCTTTATAGTCTCCTTCCAGGGGTCCCTCAACCACATTAACTATATGGTGGTGGAAGTTAGGTACTTCTGGTACTGGGTACTGGGGCACCTCTGCCAAGAATGTCCCCTCAGTTAGCGATGGGGGGCACCATAGCACCCCCACCCCCCAAGCAGAGAGGTACCACCACCACTGGCAACCCAGCCCTAGCATCCAATCCCTTGGCAAGCTCAGGAGAGACCCCCCCCCATACCACAGCCACCAGTGGGGTCCCAAAGTGGGGAGGGGGGCACACCAGCCCCCACCACTGCTACTCCCTCCTAGCCCCACGATACTTCCAGCATCTCAGGAAGACCCCTCCTCAGGCCACCCTGAGTCTGGCTGGGTGCTGGTCCCACATGGGTGGTGATCTACCATCCATTGCAAGGTAAAGTGCAAAGGCCAGACGCAGCTTGGGCCCTCCAATATGAAGGAGGCTCCCCCTCCCACCATGGGCTGACATTGATGTTATACCCACCACCTCCCGAGCTGCACCAGGAATCCCACCTCCAGGAAAAATAAAAAAGATAACTGTCACCAACATGGAAGAGGGCCCAGGATGGCAAGGCCATCCTATGTTAGATTAGCCTATGGAGAAGACTCCCTCCCCCCAACTCAGCCGGCTTTGACCTGCCCCCAACTACTACAGGCACTGGACCTCAGCCCTAGCCACCCTGGGGCAGGTCTGATGGCAGAGACCCCCACTCCGACCACCTGGGGGAGGTGGGAGTCCAGGGGCTCATGCCAGTGGGCCCCGATGGGAAGGATTCCCTTCCCCAGGACTATGGGGAGGGCACCAATGCCACCCAGGTGCGTGAACCATCTTGACAACACCACCACCTTCACCTTTGTCAGGGTGGAGGAGTAACGGACACCCTGAATTGTTGAATTGAATCTACCCAGTTGAATTGAATCTACTGGTCCATGCTAAATACTGCCCAAGTCCATGCCTCCAGCACTAGGCTGGCCCCCTTCAGTGACCATCATCTGGTATGCACTCAGGTTACTCTGCAGCCTGAGCATCCAAGGCTGGCCTCCTGGCATTTTAGCAACAGCCTGCTGGAAAATGTGGACTTTGTGGTCACCTTCCAGGAGTTCTGGCTGGCCTGGTGCAGGCAGCGGCAAGCATTTCCCTTGACCCAGAGATGGTGGGACATGAGGAAGGTTTGTGTCAGGCAGTACTGTTGCTTCTACATCGGGGGCGCACCTAACAGCTGCTAGAGAGCAGCTCAAGAGGGAGGTTCAGGAGCTGGAGAATTGCCTGGTTGCTGACCCAAACTATGCATCCCTGCGTGGAGAGTGTTGAGAGGGGGAAGGAGCTTTGTGCTCTGCATGATTGCTGCACCTGCGGTGCATTCATCTGCTCATGCATCAAGCTCCTTCGGGAGGTGGACTGGACTGTGGCTTCTGCTGCTTCTGTGCTCTAGAGAAGAGGAGGGGTGCCAAGAGGTACATCACTTGTCTCCTGACGGAGGATGGCACCTACTTCACGGACTCCGGTGAACTGCAACGAAGGGTGAGGGCTTTCTGTGCAGAGCTCTTCTCATCATATCTGGCCAATGCCGATATGGCTGCCAGGTCCTGTGGGAAGGTACTGCCATAGGTTTGCCTGGTCAACCAGGACTTGCTCAAGTGTTCTGTCACCGTGGCCAGGCTCTCGGATGCTTTCCATCTGATGCCCACCAACAAAGCTCTGGGCATTGACAGACTGACTGTGGAGTTCTGCTGTGCCTTCTTGGATGTCCTCAACCCAGACCTAGCTGGGGTTTGGGCTGTGTCTGAAAGGGTTGGGAAGCTCCCCCTGTTGTGAAGGAGGGCTGTCCTGACCCTGCTGGCTAGAAAAAGGGACCCTCTTCCCTCGACCTGAGGAACTGGCACATAGTCTTACTTCTCTCTGCAGACTGCAAGGTCATAGCAAAAGCCATTTTGCTGCGCCTGAGATATGTGCGGGTGAATGTGACCAGATGTAAACAGTTCCAGGGAGCTCCATCTTCAGCATCCTGTACCTAGTGCAGGACCTCCTCAAGCTTGCTTATAGGGACAGCCTGTCATTTGCCTTCCTGTCCCTTGACCAGAAGATGGTGTTTGACAGGGCGGATCTTGGCTACCTCACAGGCATGCTGAGAGGGTGTTCGGCTTTGGTCCCTGCTTCATTCGGTTTCTCCAGGTGCTGTACACCTCTGCAGAGCGTATGGTCAAGCACAACTGGATACTGATGGAGCCCATCCCATTCAGCTGGGGAGTGCATCAAGGCTGCCCGCTGTCAGGCTAGCTCTACCATTGCCCTCGAGCCCTTCCTCTGCCTCCTGCGCAAGTGGGTGGTGGGGCTGGTGCTCGAGGAGCTTCCCACGAGCATGGTTCTGTCAGCGTATGCCAATGTATTCCAGAGACATGGCCACTCTGAGCTACACGCACAGTCACTGCCAGCATGGAGCTGATGCCGGAGCTGTAGAGCCTGCCTGCTGCTTGATTCAGTTCAGGCAGGCTACAAACAGCTGCACTGGGCTCCAGAGCCTGCTGGTAGCGGAGGAGAGACTGGAGTTGTGCTGCCTTGGGCCCTTCCCGCAGCCTGCTCCAAGTCATGTGTGCACGCGCCAGTACAGAGCTGATGCTGGAGCCTGGCCCAGCTGTTTGCAGCCTGCCTGCTGCAGTGGCTCAGAGCCCAGGCTGGCAACAAGCAGCTGCTGCAGGCTCCAGAGCTCAGTCATCAGCTTTGTGCCGGCAGCAGGGGAGAGGCTGGGGTTGTGCTGCCTCAGGCCTGTTCCCCCCACTCCCCACTCTGAGGCGCACGTGCAGCTGGTTGCAGATTCCTGGCTGCAGCCAGCCCCAGCTCTGGGTAACTGCTGTCAACTACGGAGCCGGGCTTCTTGCAGCAGGGCTTGCAGCTGAGCTGGCCTGATTCCTACCTGCTCCAAGCCCAGCACTGGCCCAGCCGCTGTACTGGGATGAGGCTGGCACTGCCCCTTGCCAGGAGCGCCGCACATTTGTGGGCTTAGCTGTGTGGAGTGGGTAGGTGGTTGGGCTGATGGGTAGGCTCTGGGCCGGGGCCTCGGCTGGCTGTACTGCAGCCCGGGGGCTGGCTCCCCAAGGAAGCACAGGGTCTCTGGCAGGCCCAGGGCATTGTTGGGTCGGACTTCGTCTGGTGGTCCAGCAGCCCGGCTCTGTGCATCCATGCATCTGGTTCTGTATGTTTGTCTGCCTCTGGTTCTGTGCGTCTGTGTGTGCACACATGTCTGGCTCTGGATGTGTGTGTGCATGCGTCTGTTCTGGTTCTTTGTGTTTGTGCACATGTGGTTCTGTGTGCATGTGTATGTGCTTGATTCTCTCTCTGCTCTTCTTTCTCTCTCTCCTTTTTTCTTTCTCTTTCCTTCTTTCTTTCCTCTTTCTCTTATTTTTCTTTTTTCTCTCTCACCGCAACATGCTTAACAAAAAAAGTATACAACAACAGAGGCAACATTTATGGTTATTAAGTATACTAATATGAAGTGTGTCCTGCCATGTACCACTGCCCTCCCCCCCTTTGTTTTTCTGGCATGCCGGCACTCTGGCACCTTCCATGGTAGACATTGTGGGTTTTTTGGGACTCCAGCTAAAAAATGTTGCCTACCCTGTTCTAGACTATGCTAGGCAGGGATAGGTGCATCCTTCTGTGCTGGCTTGTGGAGCTGCCCTTGCTGCGTGTTCCCTGCTGCATGCTCTGGGAAGTAAACCTTGCTGCCCACTGCCCTTGTCTACATTGACCAGGTCCTGTGTAAGGGCATTTCCTCCTCCCCAGCCCTCTGGAGATAGTTGTGAGGCTGCTGCCTTGGCAGGCCCCACTGTGCTTCCTGCCCCAACATCTTAGCATGCTGTGGCGTACCAAGCTGGTCTGCCTGTGAACAGCCTACTGCCACCAGCTCTACATGCTTGTACGCTGCACTGTCCATCATCCCGTCCTCATGTCCCTTCCCAAAAACGAGTGAGACAACCTAGGTGAAGGCAGGGGTGAGGGTCCCCGGTGGGCAAGTCTTATTCCACCTTGATCTCATGAGCCACTGGGGACCTCAGTTGGCACTTCCTAAATGGAGCTGTTGCCATGGGCGTGTTTATGAAGACCTGACACCTGCCCCTTTTCTCAACAGAGGGAGGCCCTGGCACACGCCTACTTCGAGTGGCAGATTGCAGCCCCTCTTCTGCCTCCTTCAGAACCTCCTGCTGAGGTTTTGGCTGCACTTCTCCCCGCACCTTTCTTACGTACTTCCCGTCCGCCGCCCCAGCAAGTCCTGGGACTTCCTAGTCAACCTCCTCCTGGCTCTGGCCAAACTGACCATCTGTAAGACCAGGAAGGCGGCTTTGGCCAGGGTGGCACCCTGAGCAAGTGTGGGGCTGTCTAACTGGCACTCCTCCACTCACATCTCCGAGCAATTTCACTGGTCAGCATCCACAGGCTCCCCCAACTTGTTTGGGGGGCATTGGGCACTGACTGGTGTGCTCAGCTCAGTGTCCCCTTTCAAATCCCTTGTTGTTAACTTATGACCTCACTCCTATTCCTGTTTTTTGTTATTGTTGTCCCAAACACTCAGTTGATATATCCCCAGTGGTCTTCCCTTCTCAAGGGAGGCTTATAGTTTTTAACGATGGGCCAAAGCCCATGACCCTTGGCATATCAGATAGGCATGTGTCGCATGGTGGCAGAAAGTGGATGCTGAAACGGAGAGTGAACTGGGTAGGACCAGGGCTTTTTCCATTGCTCCTCTCTCACTTGCTGCCTCTAGTGTTTAAGATCTAGGACGTTCTGATTCAGAGGCTGTGCCCCTCACTCCCATGCCCAATAGCTACTGATACCCCTTCCCTCCAAGAATCTGTTCAATCTCTTTTTGAATGTAGTTAAACTGTCAGCTTTCTCAACATCTGGTGGCAGAGTTCCACACTTTTAAGTACATGCTGTGTGAAAATAACACGAGAGAGTTTTGTTTTAAACTTACTACCTTCTTATTTCATTTTGCGACTCCTAGAATGAATCAAGAGATATTTTGGTTGGCATATCTATTATAAGTTTGCTTGTTGGTTCTTTGCATCTAGACCAAAGCTGGGAGCTTCAGCCAAAATGTTGAATTCCTCAGCCTTCTGCCCAAGAGGGGCCCCCAAGCCTTCTCAGCCTTCTGTGAAGCTCTGAGAGAAACCAGACAGGAACATCTGGAAGAGATGCTCTTAAATGCCATACAACACTCGAGCAACGGGTATGTAAAGGTAAGGAATGTCAATTCTGAGTGACACATGTTTGGAATTGGGTGTGGGCACAAAGGAATGAATCTTCAACATAAGGAAAATAAATTTCTTTGTAGGTTTTAGTGATGAGTAGAAATCTGGTGGTGATCTAAGGATAAAGGAGACAGAGTAGAGGAGATGGAAACTGGGCTTGCTACTCCATGATAAAGCCTCAAATAAACCCTTTTTGTCCAAATGTAATTTTAACTTTTTTACTATGTTGCAGATTTTCCTCTCTTCTCCCCCCTGCCCCTTCCCTCTCCCTAACCCCCACCCCCTGCTTTCCCCTTCCCATCTCTTCCCACTCCCACCTCTCTTCCATCTCTCGCCTCAAGCAACTTATATGTATTGTAATAGTTAAAGGAACCAGTACCCCGAGTTTAAAGAAAAGAGAGAAAAAACTAAGCAGTCTTAAAAGAAAGGTGACTTTTAGGAGGTTAGGTTGGGAAGGCATACAGCTGAGATTTAAAGATGAGAGAGAGGGGGAAAAATCTTCCATGTAAGGAAAGTGGAACTTTGTGAAATGGAATAAGGTGGGATCAGAGATGCATGTGGAAAGGAAGAAATCTTGAATATAAAGAAAATGCAGACCCTTCTGCCTGATTTAAGTTGGGATCCAAGATGGTGATACAGCTGTTGCTTTATGTATGATTTCAAAATATCTACAACATAAATTAGCAAGTGTCATTTGCTGAGGACTGCATGGGTTTTTCTTGTTTCTTTGCAGCGGGGCCATGATTATGATTCAAGTCTCCCATTCCCGGTCTGTGAATCCTACCACTTATCAAAGAGACCACGCTGTATTGGTGAGTCTAGGTCCTTTCTTCAAGGATCAAGGCAGCCTGCTCATCTCTATATTTTATTCTCCTGAAAAGCTTGTTCATCTATTCCAATCATGTAGCTGATCCAAGAGAAAATATCAGCCACAAAAATCCTTGGTTCTCATTTTCTTGAATAGCCACTCCTTTTTCATTTCCAGAAAGCTCTCCCACCCACCATTGCCTGCCTAGCCTTCACTCACCCCACCGTCCAGTGTAGGCTGGGCAACCGCAGCCTGAGCTTCCTCCCCTTCCTTCTCCCCACTCCCATCTTGAAGACTGCACTGGAGGGAGGTGGGGGCAGGGCTGCAGAGATGCAGCTGCTCAATTCCCCAAGTCCCTGGACCCAAAAGCAAATGTCTGTTGGGTTGTGGGGGGTGGACTGGGGGATTGTTGTAACTCATGGTGTTTCCTGTGAAGCACCATCAGCTACACTGGGGAGCTGCACGTCTGTCAGTGCCTTAAGGGATGGAATGTGGTTAGTTCATTGAGTCTAGGAACTGGAGGCAGAATTAGGCTGAAAAGTGACAGGAAAACTAGTGGAAGAGGAAAGCAAACTGGCTTCTAGTTGGTTCTAATCAGGGTTCAATGACTATAGCAAGAATACCATTTGAATAAAATGTTAACAGAAGCATTTGGAATTTAAAAGGTATTTTTTTCCCTTTAAGTTTAAGATCTTTTGAAAATGAGGAGGCTGACAGTTGACCTAAGAGGTGCAAAGAGAGCATTTGTCATTATGCCACATGGCCTAACTTTAGAAGTGATTTGACAGTTGGGTGTCTGCAAACTGTAACAGGGGAGGGTTAAGAGTGAAGAAGGAAAAGGATTAAAGTTGGTAAAATAAATTATGTATTGCAGGACATGCATGTGCTATTCTGACTACATGATTTGTTGTTACTAAATTAAGACCCTCACAATGTAAAATCACAGAAACACAAATTGTTGCCTTATTTATGATTTTCTATGATTCTATGAAATAACAATTTTATTAATAAAAAATTACAATGAAATAATTATCTAAGAGCATAACTAGGGATGGGTGAATGGGGGAGGTGGTGGAAAAAGAACAGCTGCCTCCACAGCTGTATAGTTGTGCTGACAGCACTGCTGCCATTAGGAAGTGTCCACTACCCAGGTGTCCCCCTGCCCTGTTGTTATCTGGTCCCTTTGCTTGCTTATTATCTCCTTTTCTGTTTTAAATATGTAAGCTATCACACAGCAAGGCTTTGAGGTGATAAAGTGTCCCATTAGGTATATTAATTAAAAAAACCATGTAAGACTGGTGGAACTGGTGCTTTAATATAAGGGTTTTGGAGCCGACTAAGTTTTGTTTTGTGGGCCTGATGTTTCTTATATATTTCTGTGTTCTTTAAAGTGACAGTTCTTTTATTTATTTATTAGATTTATATTGCAGTCTCCCCAGAAAAGGGTCAGGGTGGCTTACAATAGGGGAAAAATTAAAAAAACAGATAAGATATTAAAATGGAATAGCTTGTAATAAATCAAGAGTGGCCAACCTGCAGCATGGCTGCTACAAGTGACGTGGGCTTCCCCTGTGGTACGTAGGAGATTAGGGAGGGGACAGGTAGTATTAGCAGATAGGGCAGGGAGCAGAAAGCAAACCAGCAGGTCTGGCATGGGAATCAGACTGGCACATGAGGATAGTGTGGGGCTAATTTGTGGCCTGTCTGCTAAAAAGATCAGCATCCACTGTAATAAGACTCATCAAATAGCATCCCCAAAATGTATCCATCCTGCTTAAAAGTCTGCTGAAATAAAAAGGTCTTGCATCACTTCCAGAAGATGTCCAGGCTTGGACTTTCAGTAGGCTGCAAGGGGGAGGGAGTTCCAGTGCTAAGGGGCAACTATTGAGACTGGCCTTCCACATGTTAGTACTTGTACTGCTTTGCAGGAGGTTGCTCTCCACTACCATGGGTATTGTGATGGAACATAAGGGACATGGTAGTCCCTTAGTATGTAGGGCATTTATACACATACAGTTGTCTGCTCCATCGTGCCGGAGATTTGGCACATCAGAGCAGAATCGATTAATTGAGTCTGTTCTGCACGTGAGCTGACGTGCCTGGTGCTGCATTGCATATATTTGCATAAATGGCAAAATGCACATCGGTGCTGAGAAAATGGCAGTGATGCGCTTTTGAACTAAAGCACCTTTGATGTTTTAGTTCAAAAGTGCACTGTCACCATTTTCTCAGCACTGACACGCATTTCGCCATTTATACAAATGTATGCACCACAATGCCAGATGCTTTTAAAAGTGCCTGGTGCTGCAACGCAAGCATGTGTACAAATGGCCATAGCACCCACGCTGTTTAAGGTTTTATGGTTCAAAACTAGCACCTTGCCTTGTGTCCAGAAGATTATTGGAAGCCATCTCAGACTTTGGAGCACAGCTCATCATGAGCCCACAAAGTGATGCAGTAGAACCATATTGTAATGTGTTCCTGATAACCACAACATTTGGCAATTGGCAAGGTGGATGATTCCTGGTAATAGGGTGTGTGAAAATATTTGGGCAGCCAGATAGATTACTATAATAAAACTGGAAAGGCAGGAGAGATCCCTTGTTTGATTGTATGTCCTATTCTCTTGTCCCAATTGATAGTATAGCATGCATTAGAGAATCTAACTGCCAGCTGTTAAAAATTTATCCTTCATCTCTTGGCATACCTATCCTGCTGTACTCTTTAGTTGCCAGAAATCTTCCCAGTCCTCAGCAAGAACAGTTTTCTGACTTCTAATTCCCAAGTCATTCATTATAGTGGCTTCTGGCAGTTAGTATAGAGACTGAGTAAATGTGTTTAACTCGTGAGCAGTAGGGGTAATGGGCAGAACAGAACAGGATGCAGTTTAACAAAGGTAAGTGCAAAGTGCTGCACCCAGGGAGAAAGAATTGCCAGCACATACAGATTGGGAGATGACCCACTCAGTAGCACAGCAGCAGAAAGGGATCTCGGAGTCATAGTGGACTCTAAGATGAATATGTAAAGCTAACTGCACTCTGTCATGCATTAGCAGGTGCATCACAAACAGGTCTAAGAAGGTGATACTTCTCCATGCAGCATTGGTAAGGCCGCAGCTGGAGTACTGCATCCAGTTTTGGGTGCTGCACTTCAAGAAGGATGTGGATAACCTTGAGAGGGTCCAAAGGAGGGCTACTTATATGGTTAGGGGCCTGCAGGTAAGGCCCTATGAGGAGAGATTGAGGGACCTGGATCTCTTCAGCCTCAGCAAGAGAAGGCTGAGAGGGGATCTTGTGGCCATCTATAAATTCATCAGGGTGGGGCCAGCAAGGAATAGGAAATACTCTGTTTACCTGGGCGCCCCTTGGGGTAACTAGAAACAATGGCCACAAACTGACAGAGAGCAGATTTAGATTGGACATCAGAAACAACTTCTTCACAATAAGGGTTATCAGAGTCTGGAAGGGGCTTCCAAAGAATGTGATGCTATCCCCTACCTTGGAGGTCTTTAAGAGAAGACTGGACAAGCACCTGCTTGGGGTCGTCCGACCAGCTCTCTTTCCTTCCCAGGCAGGGGGTCAGACTCAATGATCTACTGAGGTCGCTCCCAACCCTAAAAATCTATTAAATCTATTCAACTATTTTAAGGGTAAAAACAGCCTAGGATTTATCCTGGGTTCCTATAGATGGTACAAATCCGTTGTCACACTTTACTGAGAGAACACTTTTGCTGGGACAGTTGCAGCTAATTTGAGTTAATTGCCATTCAAACTGTAAAGATTGTCTCAGGCTTTTTAATGCAACATCTATACTGTGTTTACCCGATGTGAGAGAGTGGGGCTTGTATGTCTGTAGGATTCCAGGATAAAAGGCTTTGTTTTCACCCCAAGCGTGCTCATACTTTTAAAAGTGTTCAAGCAGCTTTCTGGAAACCTGTGGTCACGAACAGTGTGTACCCCCGGTGGCTGGGGGGCACGGCTGTTGTGGCGGGAGCCTGGCGGTGGTGAGTGGGGAGCTCCCACAGATGCTGCTGGCACTGTCAGGGGGGTGACGAGCACCGACCACCCGCAGGCACTGTTGGCAGTGGCCAGAGGCGATCAGGAACTGCCTTTTTGCAGGGGGTGCACGTGTACTTGCGTGGACCCCCTACACGTCGCCCCTGCCTGTAGTGAATATAAGTTTAAGAAAGATATATAAGCCAAGAAAATATTGAAAATAATTAGCTTGCTAATTATGAATATTCCACATCAATTTTGAAAAGGCTGGTCTCCAAGGAGATGCTAGGGCAGGTATGGCCAGGCAGTAACAGCATGGGGCCGGGGCAGAGCTGTGATCTGCTCTCAGGTCTAGTAATCTACCACGTAGGGAGTTGTGGTGAGCTGTTGCGGGCAGTGGGTGCTGACCCACCCTGCAGCAGCTCACCAAAACTCCCTAAGTGGCCCTCCAGCCTAAATAATTGCCCACCCCTGTCTTAACTGAACCCAACAGTTTCAGCACCTAAATATTTTTTGTAGTTTGCCTTTGCTCACCTGTGTTTCTAGACTTGAATAATTAGCAGATTCTGCATGAGTGTAATAACTGAAGGAAAGGCAAACATTTTGGCTCTCCATAGTAAACAGGAGGAAAAAGTAGTAATTTTTATTAATTGGATCACCAGATCTGACCTGAGTACCCAAAAGTGGTCTGGCTTTAGGGTGTTAAAATGAATGAAACTTAACTAACGTGGTTCTTCAATAAATGTTTGTTTGGAACTTGAATAATGCCAAAGACAGATACCTTATGATAAGTGTTTGTTTGCTCATCTGTATATTTCTTGCACAGAGCCATTTGAACATTCCCTTGATAATGGAGATGGTCCCCCTTACCCTCAAGTGAGGGCCTGCACTCCAGAATTTTATCGGACTCATCAGCGCTTGGTGAGTGTTTTATAAGGATGGAAGAGAGAGATTCTCATTCACAAGAGGTGGGATGTTTGGATAGGTGAGCTGAAGAGAAACCATTTCACTACCAGGGTTAGTGGCAGAGGAGGAAGTGGCAAACTACCTTTCTGGGATGTGGGTGTATATTCTGCCAGATATTCTCAGGTGTTGCCAGATGTTTTGGGTGTTTTCCTTGATGTGAATCTTACTAGTGGTGTTAGAAAACTCCAGCTCAGGTTCAACTATTGTTGCAAACTTAAGCCTCTGGTTTTGTTCACCAGGAATGTCTTTGGACGGGTCTCCCAGTCTTATTCTCTTTTCCTCCAATTATCTTGGAATGTGGGCAGAATGTATGCAGAACAATAGTGCAGAACATTGTCCTTGCTCACATATACATTCCTCAAATAAGTTTGTTAAGATTTTGGGGCTCCCCATTCTTGCTTACTGATTCATTTATAAGTCTTGGTTGCTTTGGTTCTCTCTCAGCTGGACAAGAGGCAACAGCTCCTTAGATGAGTGAGAATCGAGTCAGGATTAATTACTAATCTTGTAAGAGAAGTAATGGACATTCCTAATCCCCTGCCGTGATCAGTTTGTATTTAGATACCCGTCACCTAAACTGTGTAGTCATTCCCATGCAGAGTGTTCCTAAGTTGCAAGGGGTTTTCTCTGTATTACCATTTCTGTTGCACCTCAAAAGTTTTGCACACTTAAAAAAAAAAATAAAAAAAATTAATAATTGGTACTTTCATTGTGGTAGTCTCAGCCTGTGTAGGGAAGGAAGTACAATGTGTGTCCCTTCGCTGTTCTTCACAGGCATACAAGTTGACATCAGACCCTCGGGGCCTAGCGCTTGTACTCAGCAATGTGCATTTCAATGGTGAGAAGGACCTGGAGTTCCGTTCAGGTGGTGACGTTGACTGTGCTGCTCTGGAGAAGCTTTTTGAGTGCCTTGGGTATAAGGTGACTGTTCATCATGATCAAAGTGCACAGGTAAATAGGAGGTCCGTGGTCTGAAAGTGGGGCTGGGAATTTATAGCCATTCTAGAGTAGCAGAATCATAGGTTTGGAAGGGACCTCAACTGTCACGTAGTCCAACTCACTGCATGAATGCAGGATGCATTATTTGTATGTTATTCGAGACAAATGTTTATTCAGCCTCTTGAAAACTTGCAGTGAAGGAGATTCAACAATTTCCTTGGGTAGTTTACTTCACTTTCCTATTGTATTGACAGTAAAGGAGTTTATTCTGAGATTTAATCTAACTCCTATATTGCCAGACAGCAAGACTTACAATAGTGAATGTAAAACTACAGCAAGTGAGAAGAGTAATTCTTCCTCTTTATATAGTGTCCTTTCAAATATTTAAAAACCACTATTATGTACTGCTTTAATCTCCTTTTCTCCAAAGTAAGTACTACTTGTTCTCAACCTTTCCTCGTATGGCTTGTGCTCTAACCCCTTCATATTTGCTCACCTCTGGATCCTCTCTTGTTTCTTGATATCTTTTTAAAAATACAGATGCTGGGGCAGCACACACTACTCAACGAGGCCTAACCATTGTCAAATAGTGGTACTATTATCTCTTGTCTTCAAGTGCTTTTGTTAATGCAGCCCAAAATTTTACATTTCCTTTTTTGTTGACTTCATGACTTTGGATGTGAAGGATCGATGCTGTGTGTGAGTTTTCACGGTGCAGGGGGCTGGACCCGATGATCTGTAAGGTCCCTTCCAGCCCCTAACATCTATGAAACTCTGCTGGCTTATGATAAGCTGTGATCCACCAAAACCCCTGGATCCTTCTAGGCAGTGATCCTCCTTAGCCAGTTATCTCCCATTCTGAATCTGTGCATTTGGTTTGTTTTTTTTTCTTTTAGATGTTACATCTTACATTTGTCTTTGAATCATAGGAAAGTAGAGCTGGTAGGGACCTCTTCTAGCCCATCCCCTTGCTCCAGGCAGGATTATTCCTATCTCAACCATTCTATACAAGTGTCTGTCTGGCATATTCCAGGCAAAACTGCACAAACAACTCTTGTGCAATTACTAGATAATTTCTGAAAAACAAGAACACCTTAACTTGGCATAGGCAAAGCAGAGACAGGGATACTCTGTCCTGCCAGTGCAAGGATGGGAAGCAGTTTGTTAAAATGAACTTGAAAGATCCAAGGAAGAGGACCATACCTTCTCCCCTAACAGAGGAAAGCAACCCCTCCCTCCAATCCATGCCAGTATAACCATGGTGTCAATTTTCTTCCATGATTCTGAGTATGGCAGTCAGTTTGATCCTGAAGGGAGGAGCAAAGACCTAGTTTTTAAATCCCAGAGGAGCATCAACATACCTTGGTTAAAATCTCTCAGCCTTGGCTTCCAGCCACCACTTAATATTTCTGACACCTTGGACCATAACCTTGTCATGGTGGAGAAGCTTGTGTTCCAACGACCATTAGAGCCAAGTGGTCTTGAGTCTTGTACTCCGGGTAGGGTCTCCCCTGGCAAACAGATCTGAGATTTGGTCCCAGACTACGCATGATCCAAACTCCTGAAGACCCCAACGGCAGAACAGGCATACTTGAAGACCTGCTGGTTCTCTGTGGTTGTGAAGGCGGATGAGGGTTGCAACGGGACGGAGGTCTCTGGTTGTCTTGGACATCCTTGCCACTGGGTTCAGGGCTCTTTCCTGCCAAGTTCATGTGGCTGTTGCTTGTGCACTGGCTTTCCCACATTAAAAGATGTCACATGCAAACCTCTGCCAGGGATGTTAACATCTCCCACAAACCAAGCCCTGCAATGATGGATGAATGGTGGTGGAGACAGGAACAATGATTTCCGGGAGTCCCTAGTCACAAATCTGCATTTAAGTAGCAGTCGTGTGATGGTCATTTTGCACTTACTGAGACAGAAGTACAATTCAGCAGCTGCAGCCATGACTGAGCAGTCCTCTTCAAGATCCCTTCTGCTTACTGTGACTGGGGAAGGGGCTAGAAAATGTGCCCTAAATATAGGCTGTCTCAAACCTCCCCTGGCTGGACTGCAGCATCCAGTGGGATTGCTCTACTTGTGGCTGAAACCAACAAAATAAAGTACTGAAGTTCGCCACGTGGAATGTCTGCACTCTTGTGGATTCCCTGAACTGTGTGTGTCCTGAAAGAAGAGCTGCCATAGTAACTAGAGAACTTGGAAGATATGACTTCAGTATTACTTCCCTAAACAGGACCTGCTGGGCAGATGAAGGCCAGCTGAAAGAAGGAAGTGGCTACACCTATTTTGGAAATGGATAACTTCATTGCAAGAGTTCAGTGACACTAAACTCTGGAGTGCCATCATTGGAAAGAGCACGTGGGGAAAGTCCATTCCAGTGTTATCCTCCTCCTCCGCAAATGTGCAGAGCATGACTTGCTCATCATGAATACAATCTTCAGACAGAGTGACAAATATAAGACCACTTGGAAACATTCACGCTCCAATCACTGGCACTTTCTTGACTACATTATTCTCGGAGCTTGTGATCATATTGATGTCCATATCACCTAAGTTCTGAGAGGTGCAGATGAGTGCTGGATGGACTACCGCTTATTCGGATCAATCATGGACATGCAGCTTGCACCACAACACTGTAAACAACCAAAAGGAACACAGAAAAGATTTAACATCAGGGCATTCCAAGACCAAGCTATATGTGAAGCTCTTCAGCAATACCTTACTGAGAGGCTCTCTGACCTACGTCATGTCATCAAGGACAGCCAGGCACATTGGTAGGAGCTTAAGAATGTTATTCACATGACATGTGATGAATCAATTGGATACTCCGTTTGTCAAACCAATCTTGGTGATGGTTAAAATAATGAGTAAATTCTAGCACTTATCCGTCAGAAGAGAGCTGTGTTCTGCAGTCGGCAAAATGAACCCTCCAACCAGCAAAAGCAGGAGGCTTGCCATCAGCTCAAAACTGTAGTTCAAAGGAAGCTACAGGACATCAAGAACCAGTGGTGGCAAGCAAAGGCCATGGAGATCCAGTGTTTTACTGATCAACATGACATGAAAAGCTTCTTTCAAGCAATAAAAACCATCCATAGACTATGTTCCAAAGGCCCAACCCCCTTGTGGTCACAGGATGGTTCCACCTTTCTCATGGACAATGTATTCATCAAGCAGTGCTGGAAAGAGCACTCCAGGACTCTACTCAACCATGAATCTGAGGTCTTAGCTGTCACCATTGAGTCCATCCCTCAACACATGCAGTAATATGAGTCATCAATGTGATGGAATAATTAGCAGAGCTAACTGCACTTTGTCATGCATTCGTAGGTGCATCACGAAGAGGTCCAAGGAGGTGATGCTCCCCCTCTATGCAGCACTGGTCAGGCCGCAGCTAGGAGTACTGTGTCCAATTCTGGGCGCCGCAATTCAAGAAGGATCTGGACACCCTTGAGAGGGTCCAGAGGAGGGTCACTCATATGGTTAGAGGCCTGCAGGGAAGGCCTTATGAGGAAAGGCTGAGGGGACCTGGACCTTTTCAGCCTCCGCAAGAGAAGGCTGGTGGGGGGGGGATATTGTGACAGTATACAAATTCACCAGTGGGGGCCAGCAGAGAATAGGAGATGCTCTGTTTACCAGGGCACCCCTTGGAATAACTAGGAACAATGGCCACAAGCTGATAGAGTAGATTTAGGTTGGACATCAGGAAGAACTTCATGGTTAGGGTTGCTAGAATCTGGAACAGGCTTCCAAGGGAGGTGGTGCTCTCCCCTACCTTAGGGATCTTCAAGAGGAGACTGGACAAGCACCTGGCTGGGGTCACATGACCCCAGCACTTTTTCCTGCCACTGGCAGGGGATTGGACTCAGATCCTTTGAGGTCCCTTCCAACCCTAGCATCTTTGAAAAATTTTACCAACTTCTCATCAAAATATGTGTTAATAAGGAAGTTCCACATGACTTAAAGAATGCCAACATTGTGACCATGTTCAAGAAAGGGGACAAACACGTCAGTGTGTGGGAACTACTGAGGCATTGCCCTCCACTCTATTACCAGGAAGATTCTTACTCTCATCCTTCTGAATTGCCTCTTCCCCCTGCTGAAGCAGTCCTTCCAGAATCTCAGTGTGGCTTTAGACCATCATGGAGTACCACCTACATGATTTCTGTTGCATGACAGATCCAGGAGAAAGTAAGAGAGCAACACCAGGAGCTGTTTATAACAATAATTGACCTAACCAAGGCCTTTAACTCCATCAGATGTGAAGCCTTAGGGAAGGTGCTGGGTAGGTTTGGTTGTCCACTGAAGTTGGTCAGTGTTCTCAGGCTCCTTCATGATGGGATGACAGCCACAGTCCTTTGCAGTGGATCAGAGACACTTACCAGCCGTACTGGTGTCAAGCAGGGCTGCATCACTGCCCCTACCCTTTCCTCCATCTGTCTTGCTGTGATTGAGATTCTCATCTGTGACTGCCTTTTTCCCAGAATTGGGATTGAGTATTGAGTGGATGGTCAGCTTTTCAACTTGCAGCGTCTTCACAGAAAAATGAAAGTTGCCGAGACTGGCATCCACCGACCTTCAGTATGCTGATGACTGTGTTATCCCTGTGCACACTGAGACCAATCTGCAGTTCACTCTTGATCTTTTCTCAGGTGCCTATCACCGCCTGGGATTCTCCCTTAACATTGTGAAGACTGATGTGCTCTATCAGCTTACCCCAGAACAAGCTGTCCGCTTGCCCCCACAAATTACCATTGGTGGAGAACCCCTGGAAAACACTGAGCATTTCCCATGCTTTGGCAGTTTCCTCTCCCAGTCAGTGTGAACGTAGAAATCGAACATATGATTCACTGTGCTAGTGTATCCTTTGGAAAGCTGTTTCTCTGTGTCTTTGACTGAGATCTGCAGATGGAAACTTATGATCCTGGTCTTCAGTGTAGTGGTTATCCCCACGCTCCTCTACGGGGGTGAGATATGGATGACATTGTAAAGCCATCTTAAGCGCCTGGAATGGT